AACAGGTGCCTTACTAGTAGTAACAAGAAGCTACTAGGAACAAGTGCCACGCTTCTAGGAACAGGTGCCTTACTAGTAGTAACAAGAAGCTAGTAGTAACAAGTGCCACGCTTCTAGGAACAAGGGACTGTCTCGATCCAAACAGAAAAGTTGTTTTCTTGTTTGGCCGACGCCCTCTGCCCCTCCCTTCCCCTCCTCCCTATAATCAAGTAAGGGCGACTAGTTTTCGCCACTAGCAATAGGAAGCTCCCAAGCTAGGACGCAGGACAGCTCACACATCTTCAAGGAAGATATGGTACTAATGATATGGTTCCTAGATAAACTTAACCGACTAACAGCTTGCTATTAGGTTGGAGGCCATCGCTGTTAGTTTTTCTTCACAGGTGTTTGAACAAGAGTTCTGTAGCCTTTTGGTCGCAAGTCTTGAGCTGACGGTATGGTCGCTCCTCATCAGAGTCCGAAACCGCAGACTTGGAATGCAAGCGGTGATGAACTCTTGGCATTTCCTGAAAAAAGCTGAGGCAGTTTGAAGAATTTCAACTCTTCAATCGCTACAAAAAACAAATGGCTTGAAAGCAAGTCACAAGCTCGTCACTGGAACCATCCGAGTCCACTGATGCCCTGCGATTGAGCAAGGCTTTCGGACTCCGCACCTCAGAAAGAGAGAACGCAAGGGCCAAAAGGCAACAAAGAGATGGCGAGCTGAGGAAACAGAAGCCGTTGTTCCTAGTAGCTTCTTGTTACTAGTAGCGATGCTAGGAGCCCCTGGTAGCTTCTTGCTCCTAGTAGTAAGGCCAGGAGCCCCTAGTAGCGTTCTTGCTCCCAGTAGCGATGCCGTTTGTTCCTACTAGCTTCTTCTTACTAGTAATAACGGCCTTCAACCTACTAACGATGGCCTCCAATCTAGTAGCTTCTTGCTACTTGAAAAGCTTTGTAACTCACTTAACATGCACAAACCTAAATCGATTGCTTGATATCTTGTGCCGAAAACTGCCTGTTTTCCAAGGCCATCAAGGCACTCCATGTAGGAATGATTTGGAAGCTGTGAATCGCAGAATGTGCGGTGAACTGCAGGTCACCTGGCGTCATACTGTCGTTCAATGTCGTTCAACAATGGCCTCCACCCTAATAGCAAAAGGAACCTAATAGCGATCCCATCCGGAAGACTTTCGGGTCTCTCCCCCGGCCTCATCCTCCCTTCCTTTGGTATTGGTGGCGAGGTCTCTTTCATAGTGCTGGACCAATTCCTGTAGCTCACACATCTCCAAAGTGAAAGCAAAGAGGAATACAACTAATCACTGTAAGAGTATGCACAAAGTCAAGTTGCTGATTTCAATCGATCGATCAGCTGGTCCAAGTGCGCAGTGAAAGACACATCCATCTGCACCTCGTGACTTGTGTCGGAAAACACGAGACGTTTGACACCAGGCAAGCCTAATCGATTAACCCCTTTAACGACCAAACAATAACAACAATGTTTCACCTTGACCAACAACATTAGGCTGGAGGCCATCGCTTTAGAGTTTTCACCTTAACACTTCTTAAGCTTTGGTTTCAGGTCTTGGACACCAAGGTCTTTAATTTTTTAAAAATTTTCGCTGTTTTTTATTAAGAAATGTAAGGTCAATTGCTACAAGGGCTTGGAACGCAGAAGGGATCGGGTTCTGAAACGCCCGCCAAAGGGCAGGGATGAGCTTCCTTGAACCCCCTTGCATGCTCCAATTTGGTAAGTTGGTCTCTTCACCTTCCCTCCCCTCTTCCTTTCCTTCTTCCTTTGCTTTCTTTACTTCTTCCACTCTTCACAAAAGCACCAGGAGTTTTTCTTCGTACCTTTTGATAACACGAAGATTGGTTGCGTCTTGGGCCCAAACCCCACTGGCATGCTCCGGCACAAATACAACTTGAGCCATTGCACCATGCAACAAAATCTTGGAAATGTTCCATGTGGAAAAAAAGACATGCATGGAATGCCATGGAATGCCATTGCTGCATGCCCGCATTCGGACAACCCAAACTTGGGATAGCGCAACCCGGTCTGACGATCCACCTCGAAGGCTTGCCCGATCGGAAAAGCTGTGAAGAGGTTGACGAACACAAATCTTAAAAACCAATATGGGTTTGCCAAGGATTCAATCAAAGTGATGGTTTCAATCAAGTCCAACTCCTTCCTTCCAGTTCTTTCTCCACAATGCCTCTTTTTGGGTTCCTCTCCTTTCAGTGCCTGGTCTCCAATTTGTTCCTCTGACAAATTGGTACAAATAGGTTACAAGTTGGAAGTTGGGTCCGAAATTCTGGCAAATGCCTCTTTCTGTTTAGGTGCAACAAACACAAGACTAATTACACAAGAAGAAATCGACCTTACTGAAAAACATGGCTGAACACTCCAAGATAATTGTTTTGCACAATATGTCTGCGAATGCATTCCTTGTTGTGAGGCAAGGATGCACCGTGATAAACGAAACACTTGCTTCAAAAAATACGCAGCTCGAACATTGTTCATGTTTAAGTTCATGTTTGTAAAAGCCACGGTGTCTGCGCAGCATCGAGCAGCATGTAGTTAGATTGAACGCATTGTCCCACCTTCTTTCCGTTATGCTTCCCAAATGTCCAAATCCAACATTATGCCATTGCCCGCAACATGATACGGGTTGCTTTGGGTTGCTACCTTTGCAACAAGAGCGTCTGGCAGTTTTTCGTCAAAATGCATTTCACGCCAAGCATTAGAGCGCACCCAATAGCAATCGAGTTTGGTCTCAAGTATGTGCCTGATAAAGATGGAAAACTGCAAAACCGTAAGCTATGGATCACCAAACCGCACAGAGATCCTACGGTCTGTACTCTGCTCACACGAGACATGCACTAAATATGTATTGATTCGTCTGTCAGCCGGAGCTTTGAACATTAAAAACCCATTGTTTCTGAACATTCACCCTGGGATCAAAGAGAGCACATCGATGATGTTGATATGAGACCACCGGCTGGGACGAGGAAAGTGGAGTCAGTTGTGGAAGTTTTTCGGACAAGGAAGACACAAAGGTAGAGCCAGCTGCCAAACCCACAGGAACAGAAAGCCAGCCCCGAGCACCAAGTTCCACAATTAGCCACCCAAGAAGCTGAAGACCCCTCGTCAGAAGAACAGGAGGGCTGCAAACAAGACAAAGGACTTGCTAACCTCTCTGGCACATTGCAAGTTGGACGCACCCAATTGCAGTTCTTTGTGCCCAAACACAGGAGGCCAGCAACCGCCTTCCGCATTCTGCTGCCAGGTCCAACAAAGCTTGGAGCCCCTCTGTCTTTTCTCTCTGCAGGTTTGCAGTGAAGCCAGTCAACAAGTTTGAACGTGGCCCATTCAGGCGCATTGGAGGTAGCAACACCTTACAGACAAATCATCTGCCCACACCACGGAGAGAGTTGCTAGGCCGCTTTGAGGTCAAAGAAGAGAAGGTTTGGGCGATGGCACATCGGACTACGCATGGATTGACTACCAACAGCTGCTTTCTGGAAGGGCAAACCCTTCGTAGCGTCAACCTCGCACGTCAGCATCGGCCGAAACTGCGATGTGCTTCAGGTTCAGAGGTTCCAGCCCTGGTGGCCATCGAGCCATGAACAGTTGCGGACTAAAGTTCTGGAAATGTGGTGTTCACTGTGCTGTTGAAACAGATGTTGCACCTGGTGATTTTGGACCTTTCCGTGCGTTTTCGTCAGTTTCATGTCCCTTTTGTTCATGTTTGGGGCGAAGAGTTGAAGACATGCGAAAAACGCGGGTAGCAGACCTTACGGTAAACCACACTTCCCCTGGATCTTTAAGCTCACAGCAGGCTCTCTAGATGAGTCCGGTACACTCCAAAACTCGTTCTCTCACTCTTGAAACTTTTCAAGTCAACAACAACAATTCAAGCTAACGCAGTGCACTCCCTCGCGCCCTTTTACACTCACTCACTTGCGCCGAAAGTAACAGTCATTCAAGGACTGTACATATGCATCGACTCAGCATGCTCACCACACCGACTCAGACAGCAGCAAGTCAGCAGGCTGCCGCAAGCGACCCCCGCTGCAAAGACCAGGGCGGCCGCAGCTTCCAAGCTTAGCGGCTTAGCGCAGCAAGTATCGTTCCCACATCAAAGGTCATCAGCATACCTTAGGACGGCAAAAGCTCTAGCTTATTGCATGCCTGCTCCAAGACAACCAGTCTTACGACCTTCTGCAAAAACTGCCATTCTGGATTCGAAACATGCATGACTCTTACGCGGTTCATTCGGTCTTAAATTCTTTAAGGATTAGCTCACAAAGCTGCGTCTCCTTCCAATTGACATCTTTGGAAGACAAATGGTCATGATGACGATCACGGACACAGACCTCAAGACTTTCAAGCAAACGGGTACTATCAGTGTCTATTCTCCATGTCTTTTTGACCAACTGATTCTTCTGCATCAAATCGACTGAACAGCCGCTTCAACGAAAGTGGAATACAGAGCTCTCTTTCTCAGAAATTCTCTCGTGGTTCCACCCCCAATACGCGCATTGCTTTCGCCATTCAATCGCTACGAAATCAGCTACTTCTGCCAAACGTAGAACACCTTTCCAAAGCTTCCGTTGGGTTCGATACAACTCGCGAAGATGACTCATGTAACTCTGACCATATTTCTTGAAACGGACATCCTCCAGCGCATGGAATCAACGACCATAAGACAATAAGTTTTCCTTTCTTCTTGTGACTCAACATCGACTGCTTACGGATTCAGTGGCAGCCCGAAATGTGACTGAGATGTCAGGGTTGTTGGGAAGATTGAGACGCATTGATATTCGGATCTGCTTTTTGCAGGATGCAGTCTACAAAGGTGTGATTTCCATCACACTTGTTCGAGGTACGGAGAATTGAGCCGATTTGATGACCAAGGCATTGTCGAGAGCAGTCACGTTGCAGCACGTGGAGAAGATAGGAGTTAGTTGTTCGAGGTTTTCCGAATACGTTCATTACCATACGATCGGATCGGAAGATGGTGTTGGACCTCAGAGAAGGTTTCGCGTCAGGGTCTTGTGATTGTCGAGTGTTGCACGTCACCGGGCTCCGAGATGAAAGCTGAAGGAGAGCGTTGGAAGGTGTTGAAGTTTTGACGACTACTGAGGCAGATGACGAAACTGGCAGTTCTTCAACTTGACAACCAAAAACATGCGCTACAGCATGTTGGATACCTATAGTTTCTTTCGCTCCTTCGAACAAAGCGCACAACTCTGCTTCACCTGGACTACAGGCTACACTTTGCTGTAATCCAGGCCTTGATACAGCAATCACAAACGAAGATAGCATAGCTCCTGAAGCATTCTTTCGGTTCGTTGACTTTTCGGCTGCCCAACTGGCATCGACATAGGTCGTAATGCTTGGGACACCTGAGTACTCGTAGCTTCTGAACTTCAACTTCCAATCGGAGACAGAACGGGTGTAACGGATACTCGCACGTATCGCTGTCTCATGAACTGCAAGTGGTTGAGCTTGTCCTCGAGCAAGCATTGAACACAACCAACAAAGATCCTGTCTCGACTAAGCTACCCAACCTAACTTTCCCAATGCTGTGCGAAACGTTGACGCCGCTTCGGGCGACAACGGCTTCCGATCTTCTTCTCGATCTCGATCATAGAGCTGGAATAGATTTGGGGTTGCCTGACTTTCCTTTCCTCCAGGATACAAAAGGACATCCCTGTGACCTTCAGTCCAAGCTTTTTTGACAACTCATCCACGAGCAGCTGGGCGCGCCCATCATCCCAAACAACCAACAAATCATCGATGCACAAAACGATCAATTGATTCTCTTCCTCAGTCCCTGCAACTCCTTTCTTGCACCTTCCGGCAAAAACCGTCTTCTCCGTCACACATGCTGTCAACCTTTCAAGTTCCAACAGCTCTGCCAAGCGACGATACCATGACATCCCTGCTGACCTAGCTCTCGTCCTTCATTCCAACAGGCAATTGAAACAACTGCTGGTGAATCACTGGAGCATGCAAGATGCCTGCTCACATCCAAAAACCATGCTGTCTTTTCCAACTTCAAGTTTCGTTTTCCTTCGGAACTCGACTTCTGAGCTGGATGCGACACCACGATCTTCAAAGTTTCTGACAATGCCGCAGAACTCGAAACTCCAAATTCGGCTGCAGACGGAGCTGGCAAAATCACAAACAACAAGTCTGGATCGAACAAGATCTCGTTTGACAGCATCATGCTTTTCACAACAACCCATCTTGTGGAAAGATTCGGATTCTGTCAGTTCAACGTTTCATTTCACAAAGCAAGACATCAGCGCTCCTTTTTTCTCTTACGAGACA